CACGTGACTATTGTATTAACTTTTGTGTTTTGCGATGTTTTGACCTTATTTAAAGTACTGAAAGCTCAAAATGAATGATTAATGTTGTTTAAAGCAGCATATTAATAATTATGTTTGTAAATTATCGATAAGCTGCTTATAGCAGGTCACGTGATTGCTACCAGATTATGTGCTCAGAAAGCATCTTTTCAACTTCGATTTTGAACAATTTTTACCTCCTTTGAGGCCAAATGATGGACGGTTTGAGGCACACGATGAAATGCTGAATCTATTGATGCCAAAATTTGTTCGTTTTTTGCATTTTTAGACTAGTATATCCTGGCTCAAACTTTGACCAGTTTGTGTGTAAACCCTATGGTGAAGGGAAAACTTCACGCCCAGCAGACGTCTTTACAGTGCTGCCAAATCGTGTTTGGTGGGGGTCGCCCAAGCCTACCTATTGGTGCCTTCCTGTCGAATGTTGATCGGGGCTCTCCTACCTTTTGGCAACCTCCTGTTAAATGTTGATCGGGGGCCCTACTACCTATTTAGCGCTCTACTGATGATCTCCGCCCTCTCAAACATTGGCACTCTCCTGTCGATCACAGCCCTTCTACCTATTGGCGACCTCCGTTGATCGCTGCCCTCCTATAATTTCTCTACTCGTTAAGCTTAAGCATGTTTCCCAGTCCCAGCATAGCCGTTCTCTTGCACAATGTGATGCATTGCCTGTGAAAACTGACACAAAGGAACGTGCATTCAGCACAATGAATGAAGTACACCTACCAAAGCTATTTACGCTCTTACGTGGATGAAACCCGTCTTGGTCTTAACTGATTGATTTTACAATCATGACTGGTATTTCGGAAGATTGTTGCTGCTACGCTGCTGCATTCTCGCTGTGAGCTTGTGCTTTCGCATCTCGTGCTCCGATGTCGATGCGATGCGGTGATTTGGTGTGGATGCCGTCACCAATAAACTTTTTCTACACCGTCACCCATGGGCAGAACGTCTCCACCAACCCTTATTTTTGTCCCACCAACTTTGCTAAAGGGACACGAAAAGCTTTGAACGGTGAATACATAACAGGTGTGCCTAAAAAGCAGAAAAAGGTTGTTTTTTGAAAATTCTGCGCGACTTCGGCGCGGCATTTAAAGAGCGTTTGGTCGAAAGAAATTTGGTACCTATGCCAATCACTTGCAACCTTTTTGTCGCGTGTGATATTAACCCGATACCAAGTTTCGCAGCACTGCGCGTCGCCGCCTTCCTTACATACGCAAAAAAGCTGGTGGCGTGGTAAAAAACGCCCCTCCCCCTCCTGAGCGATCGTTAAGGATTTTTTTTTATCTCGCCACCGTACGGCGCCCTCCTTGGGTGAGGTGGCGCCCTCCTAACCCAATTGCCCCCCCCCCCCCTCCCTTCGCGATATTCTTAATACGCCGCTGACTACAGTTTTGAATTTTGTTTTCGTTGAATTGGCAGGCGGAAAAAATATGCTTGCAGAGTAGATTATTCTAAGTTGGGTCACTTGGGTGATATGCGTTTAAACCTCCTTTCGTTCACTCACCACTCACCAGAGGCCAGTTTCACCAACAAAAAATAGACGGTTGCGATTATTTTTTGACAAAATGATAGTCTATAAATCCTATTTACAGGTGAAAAAAGTAATTGCTGACCAAATAATATAGCACTTGAAGGCGAAGTTGCTACATTTTTTAACCCGCGCATGACTGGGGTATTTTCCATAATGCGAGTGACTGGGGGGGGGCTCTCCAGAGCCCCCCTCCTATATCCGAAACTACTGGGCCGATCGTCAAAATTCAAACGGCATCTGATAGCCCTGGAAAAACTGTCGAGCGAAACCTATTTTCATTGACCTCGAGATCACCGATGACGTCACAGGTCAGGTCAAAGTAAAAATTATCGACATTTTTGCTAGTTCACAATTTAGGCTCTGACCGCCGGACCGCCGGTCCGATCAGGCTCATTTTTGGTTTACGCACTCCTTGACGGATGCCTTAGATACCCTGAGGGTACCGAACTTTTTCTTTGAATTTTTAAGGTCAAGGCCAGGTCATCCTAGGTCACGAAAATTGTATATCATGTATCGGTCACGTGGCGCATGTTTTATGGTCCATTTTACTCGTAGATTTCGAAAATAGTGGCGTCTGTGTCATTTGAGGTCATTGTCAGCTGAATTTACCGGAGGTTAGGTCACTTTCAGGCCAGAAAAGGTCAAATTTTAAAAATGAAATTTTTCAACAAAAAAGGTGCCTATCAGATGCAGTTTGAGCTCAGGAACACGATGGTGCCATTTGTATTGCTGTACGACGTCAAAAACGTACTGAAAATGGGTTTGAAAAAAAAACATAAAATTGTAAAATTTTGACAATAACGCGAATAACTTGGCTATTTTTGAAGATATTGGGCTAAAACTTGCAAATGTAGTTCACCAGCGTGTGTTCTATCACATATATTCCGGTTTTTGCGAAAAGTCAAAAACTTTTTGAAAAAAATCAAAAAATATTTTTTTTTGTAATTGTAAATACATATTTTTCAAAATTTTCAAAATTTCGAAAATTCGAGATAGCAGTTTGATAGCTAGGTGTATTTTTAGTCCACCAATGCAAAGAAAAGGGATCTAGCTTTAAAACTGAGCTCTTGAGAGCGTTTGCCGTAATTCAGTATTTTGCATGAAAATCGGCCGACATGACGTCACTCTGACGTCATTTACGGCCAAACTATGGTAGCTAGAAAGTTGAAATTTTAACACAAGGTGTCAAGTTGATGCCTCTGAGGGTACCGCAAGTTTCGTGTTGATCCGTCAAACGGTTTAGAAGATATTGCTGAAAAACGGGAGGGGGGCTCTGTAGAGCCCCCCCCCCCCAGTCATGCGCGGGCCCGTGCGGGGCTGGGGTCTCCAGCCGAACGCGCGGGGCTGGGGGGGTAAATTTTACCCCCCCTGTTATCTCCCGAACTAATCGTCCGATTTGGAAAATTCAAACGCCAATCGAAAGCTCTCATCACGAACTACTAAAAACATGTACTTAAGTTAAAGTTTGAGGTCAAGTTCAAGGTCAGGTCAAGGGTACAAATTGCAAGTTTCTACAGTATCGGCCTTGCACCGTAGTTGCCGAAGAATGAAGTCATGGACTGAGACTGATCGCCCAAAACGTGTTCTTAGGCTACCAAGACAATATTCGTTGCATACAATATCATTCAGAGGTCAAGGTCAAGGTCAGGTCAGGTCAGGTCAGGTCACCAAAAAACAAAATATAGAAAAGGGCATGTGCGACACATGTTTTATGGGTCATTTTACTCATAGAATTCAATAGGCACACTCAATAAGTGATATGGACCACCTCTGGATGAATTTCAGGTCGAGGTCAGGTCAAGGTCAGGTCAAGTGAGGTCAAATTTTGAAGTTGGTTGTTAAGGCCTAAAAAGGTGTCTATCTGATGCAGTTTTTCACGGCGAATCGAATGGTGCTATTTTTGTTTCCGTACGAGGTCTAGAACTTCCAAAAAAGTCATTTTTCAAAAAATTTGTGTGTCGTGACGTCATAACATTTTGAATAACTCCCACATTTTTGAACCGATTCTTCTAAAATTTGGTATGTTGGTGCACATAGACCATTTCTCTGACATATATTCCGGTTTTTTCGATAGACTCAAAATTTTGGATTTTATAATGATTTTCCCAAAAAAGTCAGTTTTTTGAAAAAAATAGGCCAAAATCCAAAATTTTTAAAAATCCGAGATAACCATTTGATAGACAAAGTAATATTACGCATAGCCTTTTTTGTTACGTCTTGATTCCTTTAAAAATGAAGATGTTAGCGGCGTTTGAACTTTTGCCGTTTTTGAGGCGAAAATGGCGAACATGACGTCACTAAAACGTCAATTTCTCAAAAAATTTCCGACGGATTTCACTCAAATTTTCAGGGAACGTGTCAAATTGATGTAAGAAAAGGTACTGAAAGTGTGGCGGCGCTGCGCGCCGCCGTTTTTGAGATATCGCAAAAATTCGCGAGGGGGGTAAAATTTACCCCCCCAGCCCCGCGCGGGTTAAGTCAGCGATTAGTATTTTCAGCAGTAAATGACATTTTGAGACTATCATTTTGTCAAAAAATAATCGCAGCCGTCTATTTTTTTTTTGTTGTTGTTGGTGAAACTGGCCTCAGCCCTCAGATCTAGGAGGCCCCTATACACAAAAGGCCCTTTTTCGCCAGGAGGCCCCCACGATATCTTGCCCACCCTCTCAGAAATGCAATCCGCCGGCACTGCAATGAATGTGTTATGGGCGGGATGAGGTATTGAATTTGAATTGACATCAGCAATCGGGTGGGGAAGGAGAACGTTTCTAATCGAGCTTGGGATGGGGAAAGCCGAAAATGTCACGATCTGCTCAAAGCTCCGACAGGGCCAGGTGCCGTACCATGTGTAGCATATTTAGGCGGGCAGACAGAGATGAGTTATTGAATTTAAATTCACCTTACCATCGGTTTCTGGTGGGGTTTGAAGACGTTTTTAGTCAAGCTCGGGATGGGGCAACCCACTGGCGGATCCAGGGGAAGGCATTTGGGGCAAATGTCTTTCCCCACCCTAGGAAAAAAACCATCAGGATTTTTCTGATGGTCTGATGGTGCATGGAAATTGGCCCACTGGTCTGATGGTCTGATGGTCTGATGGTTTCTGATGGTTCAGGGGTCTGGTGGTTTGTGATGGTCTGGTGGTTTGTGATGGTCTGATGGTTTGTGATAGTCTGATGGTTTGTGATGGTCTGATGGTTTGTGATGGTCTGATGGTTTCTGATGGTCTGACGGTTCTGAAACAGTCGCGCCATCAATTGATGGCGCGACTGTTTCAGGAATTCTGATAGTCACTGTGCTCCTTGACGGTGTTCTGTGGTTCCTGTCGATCCTGGAGGCGCTCCCTTTCAATCACTTTCTGAGCCCGTGGTGATCCTGGTGATAAAAGGTACGATTATGAACACCATGAATATATTTATCCACCACCAATTGGCGTACAATGAAGTACAGTCCACGCCAGTCCACGCTAGGCCGCAACTGGACGTTATCTCACGGCGCTTACAGCTCTTTGGCTTTGGTGCCGAGCTTCGACTTTGAGCGGTTCAGGTCCGCGATTTTTTCACTTAGGCACTTCCGGACCTTTTTCTTGAGGTCGGCCTCCTCCATGCTCTCGTTTCGCGACCTAAGGTGGTCGCGATACATGTCTGCAACAGAGAACACAGACTATGATTATTTACAGTGGAATGATCAGCAGGAAGAAGCGCTGTTAACTGACACTGGCCTGGTTTTAGCAGCTGACTGCACTAATGTGAAAGCTCTTGACCAGATTTTCAATTGACTTTACGCTGATGATAATTGATGATGATGGTGGATGATTGTTTGTTTATTGGGGCTTTAGGGCGCGCCGACGTCTATGGCCAATATGCGTCCATGGAGGATGATTAATGATTATTGATGAATGATTGATGAATGACTGATGATTATTTATGATTGAATGATTATGTATGATGATGATGATGATGGATGATGATTAGGGTGCATCAAAATACACTTTCTTCGCATCGACCGGTCTGTGCGATAGAATTGTATAGAGTTAGATTGTATAGAGTTGTATTGAATACAGTTAAATTGAGTAGAGTTGAATAGAGTTAGAATTGAATAGAGTTACTTATAGAGTTCATTTTATTAACTTAACTAAGCACTGCTTAGTGTCAAGGTCAGGTCAAAGAGGTCATGTAAATTTAAAGTCATAATTTTAATTTAAGGTCATGCGGGACATGTTTTCCTGTCCGTTTTGGTCATAGAATTCAATGGCAGCATCGATCGTGTTGTTTGAGATCCATTTTAGCAAGTTTCAGTGAAGGTCAGACCAAGGTCTGGTCAAGTCAAAAAAGGTCAAAAAGTTCAATACTTTCAAAGAAAAAGATGTCTGTTAGGTGAAATTTAAGCTCAGGAATAGGTATGATTGTGCCATTTGTTTTTTTTTCGTACACCGACTAGAACGCCCAAAAATGGCATTTGAAATAATGACGTCATTGAGCATCATAATGGGATGACAAATGTTGATTGTGGGGTCAAATTTTGAGACTGATATAGCCATCTTGTAGAGCTTATCATTTTACTTATTTGGGAGCTTTCATTTGCATTTGCATTGCAAGATATGCCTTGGACGTCATTGCGAAATTTGACCACTTTACGGCCGAAACTGCCATGTAGTGACGTCACAAAATCGGCCATAATTCAAAACATTTCTACTGAATGAAGATGAAATGATGATAGCAGATAATGAAGATAATGAAGATGAAATGATGAAAAAACGTTGCAGACTCCTTCAGCTGGATAAGTCTAATATGAAAAGGCTATTTACCATGTCTTAGTTTACAAAAAGGTGAAGTAGTAATGCATTAGTACCGTGCGTTTCAATTATTTTTGCCATGATTGTCCCGGTCCCCATGTTCCCAACCGAACTAACCTTGCACGTATTGCAGCTTTGTCGGAGTCAGGCCGTCCTTCGCCGCCCTAGCTTCATAGCGGTTGGTAGGTTTTCCCGTCACCGATCTCTCTCCCAGGGCTCGGGTGCCCCATACAGCGACTCCCAGGCTTTTAATAAAGAGAGAGTCGCTCCTTTGGGCCTTGATGAAGGCCAAAGCATCAGGGCGAATGTCCACACCCTGCAAAATGTTACTGATTAGAAAGATGGATGCGATCGAAGGAAATGAGTCATTAAGACCAGTGCCTATTGACTATACCCGATTTGGCGCGAACAATGATGACTTTTGGAATAAAATGGCATTGACATTGAATGAAAATCTCAAGACAGGGGGAAGAAAAGTGCTCGTACGATAAGTTAGAACAATCTCTAGGGTCCCGATGCTGCAGGGCATAGGACGCAACCTTAAATTCCGATGACAGAGGGAAGAGAACAACAAAACTGATAGGACGACCAGTAAATTGTTTGCGGCTCAAGACCATTATTACCCACCTCTGGTGGCGTGATACCCGCGCCGTCCGCAGTCTCAGGCCTGGCTGAGGCAGTCGCGGGCTGCGCCGAAGCTGATGTTGCAGCAGTTACTCCTGCACCAGCGACTGCTGCAGGAGCTGCCGGCACCCGCTCGGCCCCGGGCGACGGAGAACCGACCGCCGGAGGGTTGGCAGTCACTGCCGCTGGTGTTGGGAATCTCTCTCGGCGCGGAGCAGCGACGACATAATCTTCGGTGTTGATCGATAATATATCTAATCATAATCTTCGGTGATAATCTTCGGCACAACCAGGGCAGCGGCCGAAACCGCTTTTCGAGAATTAAAGAAAACTTCACAACTTTTCTGAGGAAATGTTGGTTAATCACACTGCACAGCAGTGCGCAAGGAATCGAAATCCGAGTTTTTAGATTAATTCGGAGAAACCTTTTTGGGGTAAGCCCCCGCAGTGTCCAAGACCGCTTCCTGGATCCGCCAGTTTTGGGCGCAAATGACCCTGTAGTCGGCGCGCCCTTAAGCCCCAATAAACAAACAAGGATCCGCCAGTTGTGAATAAGTCACGGTCGATACCGAGCTTCGGCGGGACCAGGCGCTGTATACGTTGTACTTACAATGAAGAGGTGGACAGACACCTAGCCCCACATCCTACTGCTATGCCCGTGCTTCTGTGGGTGAAGCACTGAAGCATCACGGAATCCCACAGGACCTGCGAGTCGACGAGGTGGCCGCTTTGGCCGCCGGGTACTGCAGCTCCCTAGGGAGTTGCCTGGGACCGACTTCGTTTCGTTTCGTTTATTTAGGGCTTGTCCACAAGTGGCTATTACGGCCCAGTCAAGACCGATGGCAAAACAACAGCTCCGGCGGCGCCCCTATGGGCCGCAGTAATTAGTGAATTCCCGTAATGTAGAGATCATTCCTCAATGATCTCCATTACGATTTATTCCTAAACAATATGACAGACCAATTATGCTTGCCTACGCTAAGGCATTAGCTCTGATGTTATACGCCCAGTACAACATTGTTGTCTGTCAAACAACAATCGATGACGGGATCCCTTCTCATCATCTCTTAAACCATCGGTTGTCAATTCACCCACCGGCACCGACCCCTCTAGATTCGTCAGAGACGGGATCGGGTCGCCGTTATTGCACCCGTCTTAGGCTGGAGACTTCCACACGCGGGTAAGTCGCGTGTAAGTGGTTTGCGGGTAAGTTGGCGTTTATCTCGCGTTTAAGTCGGCGGGTAACTTTGCCCGGAGACTTCCATCTGCGGGTAAATAGTTTGTTCGCTAAGTTAGCGAAGGAACTTACACGCGAGCCACCCCATGTATTAAGTTCGCGGGTATCTTTTCGGTGGTGCTTTTTTTGGTCCTTAGGGGGTTTTAAAAGTTTATTTCTGTGCAAATTTTATGTGCAAGTGATAGACAATAGTGCAATAATCTAGTTCTGGCCTTTTCAGCCAGTTCGGCCTAGCCGTTCGGCTGCTAAGATTAGACGAATTTGAGGTCACCTTTTCATAGTACTGAGGCCAGTTTTACCAACAGAAAAATAGCCACCTGGCGGAATTTTTCGCCTAAAGGCCGATTCACATACGGATCGAGAGCGGTAAAGCCCTATCCGCTTACGTGCTTATCGCGTTTACACTCCGTATGTGAAACGGTCTTTAGGCAAAAAAATTCCGCCAGGCGTCTATTTTTCTGTTGGTTAAACTGGCCTCTGTGCTTGTTGAGGGGTTACAAATTACGTATTTCATCACTGCAAGTATCCAGATGTTTTCAACAAGTCATACATTAGTAATCAGAGCAATATTTGAGTTGACAGAATTGAGGATGTAGGACTCAAATTTTCAAATGCGGAGGTATTAGATTATTTCCATCGCACCTATCTCCTTGCCACCAGCTGCTATTTCGTAATTTTCGGGATAGTGAGATGGGATTCGTATCGCATCCGAAATAATGTGATCGTCGAGCCAGCCGGCTAGTGTCGGGCCCCTGTCGTCGCACTTCGCGTTACGTGTCAGTGGGGCGAGGACCAGCTCAGTGGAAGCAATACGAGTGACCGGTCAACAACCATGGACAGGAAGAAGAGGAGCAGAAATTTCAGTAGTAGAGACATGCATTTGTTAGCCGATGTCATGAAGACTGAAGTAAAAGTCATCGAAAATAAGCGACACGATGGAAGGAGTAATGAAGAACGAAAACGGTCTTGGAAGAACATTGTTACAGCCTGTAATGCAAGGTCAGTAGAAAAATGGGACTAGAAAGCTCTGACACAGCTCTGGAAAGATATGAAAAGGACGGCCAGAAAGAACTATTAGCGGTTTAAACGGCAGCAAATGGGCACTGGTGGTGAACCGGATCCTGCGCCGTTGGAACGTCAGCCACCCCCGCGACACGCACATATTAAACTGATCACTCGGTGATAATCGTCCTTTGTGTGGCATTGAATTGGACACCGACGACGCCTCACCGGTGAAGTGACGGGGCGGGGGTGAGGACGGGGGGTGACGGAGACGAACCGACGAGGGCAGACGAGTAATCTGAGATACGGCTGTTGCAAGATCATGCAGTAGACCGGCGGTCGGCCATACGGAGTGAAATAACACAAGGCGATTAGCATTATTGATGCTGATTGGCACGGATTCAAACGCTGTTCTGGTTAGGTTAATGCATCACCACATCCCATTGTTACGGCTGTACTCATTGCATGTGTAAAAACGCTGATTGGGGGCCACCGGCCCCATAAATAACGGAATTACGCACTTGTTCATTGGACCAGCTGATCGCCGCATCCCGATCAGCTGATCGGGAAGCCCTTTAAACTGGCGTGTAAGTCGGCATTTAAATATTTACACGCGTGTAGCTACCCACCAGTTAACCGCGGATGGAAGTCACCGGGTAAAAGTTGGTGGGCAGCTACACGCGTGTAAGGAAGTTAGCCACCAAAATAAACGCGAGTTAACCGCAAACTGGAAGTCTCCAGCCTTAGTGTCTTTAATACATAGACAGCTTCGACCACGGATGTCGGACGGGGTGATCGTTCCACGAATATACGCACCATCCAGGCCTAGGATGCATCGAGGTTTAAAACAATGCAGTCTGTAGATCAATCAACATAACAATGGTGGTATGCAACCACATTAAAATATCTCCCCGGCTCCCGCAACGTTCCAACGCCCCTCCGTTATGCATTCGCCTTGTGTGTCCGCCGAGCCGGCTTGCCTCCAATGACGTCATCGGCCGGCCGGCGGCGTTCAAGGTCAAACGGCTGGTGTCCTTACCTGGAGTTCTATAGCCTTGATTGCAAACAGCAGATCAGCATTGCAATCTCCCATTCGATTCACTACTCCCACGCTGAACAATTGTGAACGTCGAGTAATGCCGGGTTCACACCGGATTCCGGACCGGCAAAATTCCGTCTGCCGGGCCGGAAAAATGGCCAATTCCGTGCCGGAAAATTGAAAACTGGTGTGAACCGGCAAATCTGGCAACTTCTTTTGACCGGTGCGGCAGGCCGGAGAGCCAGATTTTCCGGTCCGGCAAAAAGTTGAAATCATCTCAACTTTTGCCTTGCCGGATAGCCACCGTTTGTGATATGATAATTAAGGCACGAGGGAAATAATGTTATGTTTCAGCGCTACAGGACCAATTTAACCAACGGTGCCCTAATAGTCTCGCGATTTTTCACGAGAATATAAAATTCAAGCGTAAATTTGACGGCGTTTCATTTTTATTTCAAAACATTTGCATCTCAAACGGAGTGATAGCTACATTTTTGTTTCTGTATTTCACATGACTCATGGCCTTTTCAAATTATAAATTAATTTCATTGGTTGGAAAATATTGATGACTTTATAATAAAAAAAGATAAATATTATAAGGAAGCGGTGAAAAGGGCGAATTTGTGGAACAACATTGCGGACGCGCTGGTTGTAGAAGGAGCGGAGCCAGTATCTGCAGAAGAGATTATCAAGCGCTGGAGCCGGCCGCAGGACAGGTAGCACAATGTACGCATTGCTAACTTCCGTCGTCTACGAAGTGGAGCCAGCCGAGCAGATTCTGAAATCTACATTCTACAAGACGCGCTGGCGCTGACAACACTTCTCTGCCCTCGATGCCCTCCTACACAAGCACATAGCAGCTCGGGAGGGTGGAGGCAGTTTTGCCATTCAATCGCAAGTAGAAGATTCAGGAAATACGATGGTACTGAATGCAAAGGATATTATCCCGCGCCCTGCTAGGGGTGGGGGTGGGGGTGGGGATATTTGAACCCTCCCTGTGGTTTTTCGCGAACATCTCAAAAACGGCGGCTGTTTTTGGCACACCTTATCATGCATCTTTTCTGCACATGTAAAAATTGTAGACCAAGGTCACTTAAGGTCAGGTCACCAGGTCACTTCAAGTGACCTCACCTCATACAAAGTTTCAACGTCTTCCATATGCTACATCGAACGACCGACCTCTTTGAAACTCTCAGCGATTGATAAGGGCAACAATATGTACACAATTTAAATAAATAACTATCTCGGAATTTTGATATCGGTGACCTAAGGTCAGGTCAATTTTGTGACCCCCCCCCCCCCATTATAAGTCAATGGGAGAAAATTGATGCCAAGTTATGCGTTGGCTTGTTGTAAATCGTCGACATTCGACCTGAAAATCGGTGAAATTCGGCTTTCCATTACCTCTGGTGACCTGACCTTTGATTTGACCAAAAAAAAGTGACCGAATTAATTTCGTCATTAATTTTGACACTCTTTCGAACGCCGCCTTCCCCGTATCGCTACGTGGCCCAGGAGCCGAGTTAAAAGGGGGGATGTTAAACACCCCCACCAGCAAGGCGTGGCAATTTAGTACCCCCAGCGGGGCGCGGGTTATGGCAGTAGAGTTCAGTGACAGTCAGATGACCGATTTTGAGACCCAGCCATCTACATCAGTGTAGTGTTGTGCGTAGTATTGTGTGACGCGCTAGCGTCGTAGTTCGGTCTAAGCCTGACGGCTCACGACGTACTGTACGTTATGACGCAGCCCCGCCCGCGTGACTGGGCGGCGCTGACCGTTGACGGGTCGTGCGGCGCCGGCGGCGCTCAGTCTGACACCGGCCACGAGAGCAGAGGAGCGGCTGCCGAGGCTGGTAGACGCCGAGCCAGCTCACTGGGCTGGAGTCTGTTATGTAACGTTATCGCCGTTTGTTCTTATTTTAATATCATGGTGGTGGCTAAACAGTGAGTTTGAAGGACGTGGAACTGGACGGAA